ATTTTTTTTTTTTTTTTTTGTTGGGGGGGGAGGGAAGTGCAAAAATATTTTCGCTTTTCTCTACATCATATACTTTCAGTGCAGGCGACGTGTATACAAGTAAGCCGGTCGCTGGTAACTAATATATGTTTCATTTTATTTTATTTTATTTTTTTCGTATTACAGTATTAAAAACCGCGTGATGCGTAAAATTATCTACACATAATGATAATTATAACTATTATACGGGAGATTCGTATACACAAGGCGACATCTCGGTGCCGCGGAGAGGCCCGATTCCATCAGTGCCTCGATTCACCCGTACACTTTTTATCTCTCTCGCGAGCGTCGATTATTTTCCCTAATCGCTACACGACAAACACATAATAGCAATTTTTACGCAATGGGAGAATCAACGAGGGCAAAAAGGCACGATTTAATCGAGCCACCGAAAAATACCCGCGGATAACTATATTAAAATACACTTATGCAATACATATATGTACACAATACTCTTGTTTCTCGTGATGGGCGTAAACAAAGGCCGCGTGTGGCGCACCGCGGATAAAAAGCTCGCTTTGTGTGTCTCTCGCTCCCAGCCTTTTTTTTTTTCCTCATAGACGATTAATATTAGAATTCTTCGAGTGTCCGCGCGATTTCCCAATGTTTGCCCGATGGACGGTGATTTCGAGGTCGATTGACTTTGCGCAAATATTGACCATCGCCGTCGGCTCTCGTTCGTCGAGCTGTGGTGACGGCATCGTTGAAGAAAACCGGCTGCTGCTGGGCCTCACTTTTGAAAAATATATACTTCAGAAATTTTTTCCTCCGAGAAAATATTGCGCCACTGGTATACAAGATTTGTCGAAAGTTCACACACACTTTGGACAATGACGTTACGATCACGGGACCTTTACTGCAACATTACAATACGCATATATATATATATAGTTTAAAAGCACACAAACACGTTAGAAGCGGATATGAGATTTTGTACATTATTGGTGTTTTTAACATGTTTTTTGTTGAGTTTGCCTCTATATCTATTCACGCACCCCATGCACCCGTATGACATTCAAATTTGTAAAAAAAAAAAGAAAAAAAGNTCCAATTTTTTTTTTTTTTTTTTTTTTTTTTAATTGCGAAACACTTAAAAATTCCGTATTAATCTCACATCGATTTTTTATATCGGGCAATTGATTCATTTGGCTTTGAGAGATATTACAATTTTGATAATTGCCTATCTGTACAGCCACAGCGCGGATAAGAGATCTTGAAAAAAGATACACTGTTAAACCATTAAAATTGCACAAAAGGAAGAAAAAAAAAAAAGCAACAAAAACACAAGATGCAGCCAGGACTGACTCACCAGTACAAGTACATGGGGGGCGAGGGGGGGGGGTGGGATTGGAGAAAACGAAAAATGCCCTTACCTTAAGGGCGCGCGCCTCGCTGGAGGTGCTCGTGACGAAGAATGAGTGTATGACTTTGTAGGGCTGTATGCCCTTGGCTGCCTTGAAATTTTTCAAGTGTATGCAGCCAGAGTCGCTCATCTCAAGTACACGGCACTCGGGCACGACTCCACGCAGTCGACAGTATAGTAGCAGCAGCAGCCAGCCGCCGCTGCCCTTAGCCGTCTCGACTCCAGTTCTACAGCATCCGCGAACAGTAACAACAACGGTAAACACAACTCAACAACGACAATTGCCTTGGGGAAAAGTGCGGAGGAGAGCGAAGCTGGCGGTGATGTATCCGAGGCGGCAGCAAGGACGTGTCTTGTTTTCGAAGGCACCGGGATATATCACGGGAGTGACAAAGGAACGGGTGGCTGTCTCTCGTATCCGCAGGGCCAGACTAACGAGCAAACGAGCTACTCTTTTGCGAAGGGATCAGATTCACACGGGGCCTGTGTATACGGAGAGAGACACGCGTGTGCCTCCCGGGAGTGTGTCCCAAACGACTGAGCCTAACCCTTCGCTGGTAACGTTAGGTTATGCCAAGCCTCTGAAGGATTTGTAAATTCGGAGTCACGGAGTCGCGCGCTGTGCCTGTGTATAACTGTATATGTGTTTTTATTGTTGTTCCACCACCGCACCGCCCCCGCCCCTATATACTCTATATATGTCAGCTCTCTTTTTACTCTTTTGCTAACTGAGTCGATAAATATATGGAGGGCTCAATGCGCGTGGATAAGTTTCGTGATTTGTTACGCTCTTTTTATATCACGTCTACTTGATTGTAAATGCACCACTGTCACGATTCAAAATTCAAACACACAAGAGTAAAGGTTATACACACTCTAATTGTCAAATTTACACGCTGGATATTGTAAATATCGATACCTACCAATTTTTTGGTAATTTATATATAGGTGCAATGTGTAAATCCTGATTTTTCCAGCACAGATGTTTTGCTTATCTTATGTCGGTAATGATGCGGACACAAGTTGATAATCGCGGGCGCTTTATACTTACCTCCCGTCGATAATGTAGGTCTCTTGTTTTTGAAGCATATTAAATACACGCATCTATACCTACTCTATAGGCACATAAAGTTTAACAATTTTTTATTATTATTATTATTATTATTATTATTATTATTGTTATTATTATTAAATAAATCCACAGTGTCGTCAGAGTTCTGTTGCGTAGGGAAGATATTGGTAAGGAGGTGCTTCGCGAGAATGATCAACACAGATTCTTTCAAGAGCTTTATTCAAGATACCGAAATCACATACAAAGGCTCGTCGTGTACTTCCCGCATAGACCCTCCTCTCCTTGCTCGCTCTTCCCTATATATATATACCCTTGGCCCTAGGGCCCCTCGATCGTTATGAGGTTTGAGGAGAGGGAGCGTATATAGAGTCTCACCTCTACTACCGTACGTTACAGTTCTTTCAAAGTGCAAATAGTTTGTGACCAGTAAGTAACTATGAGTAACGAAAAAAATCTAAGATTAATTAAGAGAGTTATATATCCATTCCGATGCGGGTTTACAATACGATGAATTATAAACCTAAATTGATACATGGATATCAATTTGTTACTTTCCCGTAAAAAGAGTGGGTAATTTTCCTTTGAACAAACATTTCTTGCCATATTGTCGATGACATGGACATCGGAAGCTTTAAACTCCAATTACTTGTAAAAACAATAGCAATGTTCATGTAAAAATCTCATTACGCTTGCAGCACCTAAAAATGCCACTTATTCAACAGTAAACCAATTTTAAACCAATTGATTGATAAATCTAGATCGATTCGATTAAAAAAAAAAAAAAAAGTAGTTTAAGGTAATGCTATGGGAGTACTGTTAAAAAAATTAATTTCACAATTCCATGAAAATCGATATTACTTTCAAATATCAGATTATTGTTTGAGATAATGGATAAAATGAAATGAAAAATCTTTTTTAAAGCATAATAACTAATTTAAGTTATTTATTGAGTAGAGATAATCAAATTAATTTTTGACTCTCTCTAAGACCTGCCAGCATGTAAAATCAATATTTTCTCTAAGGAATTCGCAGGTATGATATAGATTAGATTAACATTTGCAACGCTACGGCTTAAGGTTAGGGGATTACAGTTTCTTACATTAAGAGGCAGAAACACAATTTTTTGGTACGAGGTGATACTACTTCTTATTAAAATTGTACAGTCACTTTTGATCAACAAAAGTTAAATTATAAATATAACATTATTTGCTTCAAGTATCTTCTATTTCTTATAGAAGATAACCATTTTCCGATTGATGCCCAGTTCTAGGTGAAGTTTATAAACAGAAAGCAAGCACAATAG